CACTTACCTTACTCAAATTAGTGGGCTTTCTGGCCGCTGCCTGGAGTCCCCCTAATAAGTGCTGGTGGTAGGTCCCCAGCCTCCTCTTACCGTCATCATCATTGGGGTCCCATTCGGGGTGTCACGATGGAACTACTGTTTCAGCCTTGGCTGAATGCCCCGGAGTTCCAGGAGTGATGCCAGGGTTTGGCCCCAGGGCCTCTTTGACTGTCTGTTGATAAATGCGGTCCGCTCCTCAGTGGTGAACAGGATCTGTAAAAGCTGTTGGCAGTCATCCCAGGCTGGCTGATGGGTATGAAAAACAGACTCAAGAAGAGATAAATGCCTGAGGTTTTTCAGAGAAAGGGGGATTCTGATGTTTCCAATTGTAAAGATCACTAGTTGTAAAAGGGACATAAATCAATCCTCCCTTGGGCTCTGTCTGTTTTAAAGGAAAAAGGGAGGAGGAAGATGGGGCTGATGGACCGTAGTCCTGTCCCGATCGAGTGCCAAAGGTCAATCGGGACCTGTGGGGCCCCGACACCCATGACCACATTTCAAACCTTTCCTCCTACCTACCCACAGTGCACTAAGAATTGTTCAATTCTTACCTCTAGAGGCTTTCCTGATAAACTCTTGCGGGTCGGTTGATTGGCGATAGAGCCCAACTAGGACAGGTCTACCCGGAGCCCCAGAATACCGTCAGGGTGGCCTCTCCTTCCGCAGACCGGTGTCCAGAGGGGCCAAACACCGCCAATGTCTGATCCTGGTCTCTCCTAAAAAGAAACAAAGGCTCCAAGATAATAAGCTCCAGAGCAGCTGGCCATCTCACTGGAGCCTCCAAGAATGTTACCCCCAGTGAGAGAGAACCAACCAGAGACCGACATTAAATCCACACAGGAGTTTATTACCAGCCGGGACCCGAGCTGAGCATCGGACTCGAGTCCCAACTGGGGGGAGATTAACATATTTTATACACCTTTGAGGCCAGCAGTTTCTAGGCCCCCCTATGGCATAGAAGTAGCAAAGCAAGCAAAAGGTACAGAAGCGGAACATCCTGATGTTACAACATTTGTAAAACAATGTAATGACACCCTGTCTCAAATAAAAGTTTTAAAAAGGGCTCAGGATGTAGTTCAGTGGGAGAGCCCTTGTCTAACAGGCCAAGGCCCTTGGTACAATCCCCAATACCAGATAGATAGATAGATTATAAATAAATTGATGATATAGATGATGGATGATATAGATGATATATAGATAGATGATAAATAGGTGATAAACAGATAGATTATTGATATAGATGATAGATATGTGATAGATATATCAGATGATAGATAACAGACAGATAACAGAACCCATGTGAGGTCTGTGGGAGCAGGCTGGTGATGCTATGGAAATCTTCAGTGCTCACCTACACCTATTTCACTAATGGCCTCTGAGGTTTCCTTTACACGCCCGTCAGCACTTACTGACGAGGGAGGATCCACATCTATACTTTCTGTATAGAAAGTCCTTGGCTCTTGATAAAGCTACCCTTGGTTCATAGCTGTTTTCCCAGGGCTCAAAGTGAGCAGGCACCTTTGGGACTGGTGTGTTCAGGAAGGGCTCTTCAGGGTGGGCGAGAGCCCGAGATACAGCCAATCCTGTGTGGTAGAAAAGACAGGGCGTGTTGTTTTCCACAGGGGCTCCAGCAGAGTGCAGCGGTCGCAGAGTCGGAGAGATTCGATGTGCAGACCAACACTCGAGACCTGGGGAAGGCAGTGATTTGTCCCAGCCCTCTGCCTAAAATGACATTGTCGGAGCTCTGTCGTCTGAGTGGATTCTGTGCAAGCCACGCCCTTGGCCCTAACAGGGCTACCGGGGGAAAACTGAGCCAAGTCTGTGCACCTTGCTTCAGGCCCCAGAGCTGGTAACGGGCAGAGCTTGGGAAACTGAGGCCTGGAGAAGATAAAAGCTCTACTGTTAGGAAAAGGGGAAAGAACCAGAGGTATGAGCTTAACGGGAGACGTTTATTTCAGAGTAAGCCTGAGAGGGCCCACCTGGCGTTAGAGACCAGACCGGCTACTCCTGCACTGGCTAGGGTCCTTTATAGGGTCACAGGCATAAAGGGGGCGGGCTGTGAAAGGAAAAGGTCACAATGGGGCTTGCAAGGGGCAGAGAGAGTTCACTGAAGAGTTGTGGCTACCGGCCAAGGACAAGGTTTGCGAACGCACAGGGAGTTGCAGTTACTTGTCATGCGCAAGACTGAATAACGAAGGTTAATGGACTGTAGCTATGGTTACTGGGCCCTATCAAGCCGTGATTATACATTTCTAGCAGGTACGCAAGCACGGGGTGGGGGGGCTTCAACGTGATCTCCGCTCAGCTCAGAACGAGGGCGCTCGGATTCCTTCACTTACCAACCTCAGGATGGGGATGCAGAGCTGGCTGTTGGGCTCAGATCCCTCGACCTTTTCAAATTTGCTCTGTCCACCCAAGGGAACGAAGTCGCAGGCAGGTGACGCGGAGCTGTTACCATGGAGCCCGGGAAGCCACCTCCCAGAGGACCTGTTTTAGCCTTGCGAAAGGTCCCGCAACACGCATGCACCACACCGTGCCGTCCAAGGAAGACTGTGAGACCTTTCCACCAATCGGGATCCTGCATCCGGCCTGGCCCCGCCTCGATCTCCAGACTTCCGGTATCTCGCTGTCTCCAAGGCAACCCGTGGTGAAGGAAGGTCTTGGAGAGTTCTGGGTATTGTAATGTCTAGAAAGCAGTGAGCCAAGAGGCACGTTTGTCATTAAAAAAGGAGCTTTTGATAAAAACGCCTCGGGTTGACAGCACTTGTTAAACACTCTCCGAGTCCAGTCGTTCGCCGCGGAAGCTGGGGGAGGGGCGCGCAGAGGCTTGTGGGAATGACGGGCCGGCGCGGAGGCTGCCTCGCTCCTGGGCTTGGAGCGGGTGGTAGGGATCGTCACCATCACTTGGGGCCGTTTCCGAGCGCGTGGTGGTCACCACGGTAACACCGCTCACCCGCCCTGTGCGTGGTGACGTCACTCGCGTAGCCCCTGCCCCGGGAACCGTTCCCGCCCAGCCCTTCTGTCCCTGGCACAGCTGTTCCCAGTGGAGACCGCCGCCCAGCTGTGTGAAGACCCTCCGGTTCCGGACAGAAGAGCGAGCCCTGGGCCCTGCTCCGGCCCAACTCGGGCAGAAAGCCTAGGGCTCTGAGCCCATCTCTGCCCTGATAGAATACTCGTAGCCATAGCAACAGTAGGACTACAGTGGGGATACTCGTAGCCATAGCAACAGTAGGAAGGACAAGTCCCCACTCTCTGTAACGCCCACAGCCACTCTGACAGACATATGCTGTTCACTGTATCACTGAGGTGGTGACAGAAGTGCTATTCCCTAAGGCCCTTGCCTTGCCTCCATTTTTTTTTTCTTTTTTTGGTGCCGAGGATCGAACTTGAGACCTTGCGCTTGCGAGGCAGGCGCGGTGCCACTGAGCTAAATCCCCAGCCCACCTCCATTTTTTTCCACAGAATGTTTTGTTTTGGAAATGTAAGCTTCTGTTGCTGGGCTTCTGCCCAATGTAACAAAATGGTTTGTGACTGAACTGGGTGACCTTTCAGGAATGTTCTGTTAAACTCTGCCCTTTCACAAGAAGGTTCTGATAAGGGCCGGGGATTTAGCTCAGTGGTTCTGGTGCCTGCCTCACAAGCGCAAGATCCTGAGTTCAATCTCTGGTCCCAAGAAAAAAAGGAAAGAAGTTGTTAAGCTCCACCCCCTCTTAGGACTGTAATTTGGGGCCCCCCCTTCACTGAGCATGCTCACAAGGCATGTGTTTCAGGAATGTTCTGCAACTCCGCCTCTTTACTTCAGGAACGTTCTGTAACTCCGCCCCCTTGCTTCATTGAGCACACTTGCCTACCCTGTAGATCCATCCCTATGTGAGGAGGCTCTGGCTTCTGCTAGAGCACTCAGACTCCTCTGAGCCTGCTGGGGGCTCGCCAGGGTAATAAAAGCTTATTTATCTCCACCTCTTCAACTGACCATCAGATTCTTGACTCTTTAAATAATGAGAGCTGTGACCCAGAGCTGCCACACTGAGCTGTAAGGCTCAGCCATGCCTCAGAGTTGTGGCACTGGGCTGCAACCCTCAACCCTTGGCTGTAGCACCGAGCTGCTTCGCTCTGCTGCAACAGTCGTAGAGAAGGAATACAAAATGGGTAGAAAGGAAACCCAGGAATCACACAGTGGTCCTTATTCAGGCTCCTTTCCTTCCAGACCATCACACCTCAAATTCCTCAGGAATACTGAAAGTCCATAAATGGGCTTAAGAAAATAAAGAGCAGAAATGTGATCCTAAGATGAAGGCGCAGGTTGAGGGAATCCAAGGAATGTTTAAATTACTGTCTTTAAACAAAAACAAAACCCTGGGTCCATCCCTGCAGAAGGGGCAGTGCCCTTCCAGGGAATGGGCCGCATTTTCCTGGGTTTCCACCCTCTGAAGAGAAGCACAAAGGGTCCCAGTTCCACAAATAAAGGCACCTGTCTTGAGGCCTGCACTGTATTTCTTGGAGTGGGTACTTTTCAATCTCTGCCTGATAAACCCTTCCTGTTCCTCTGACTGGCCAGTCCTGAAAAGTCTTTTTCTGCGGTGGGAAACAGCGAGCCTGCAAACTTGTTCAGTGCATGAAGTGGCTTAGGTCCCTTCTCTTAGCTTCAGGAGCTTCCTCAGACCCTGCCTGGTGACATTCACATCCCTGTTGTACAGAGCAGGAATGGAGACGTGAAGGAGTAAAATAAGTGGCACCGAAAAACAGAGTTTCTTTGAAACGTGGAACTCTACTGTTGGAGTGACTTTACACTTACAGAAAGGCTGCAGTAACACTACCAAAGTCTGTGCATCCCTCGCCCCTCCTCTGCTGTTAGTGTCTTCTACATTCAGAGCTCGCTCTTTACACTGGCACTGATGCTGGTGCAGTGCTGCTAATCCCAGACTTGGCTCACATTCAGCGGGCTCCTCTGACATCCTGGCTGTGTGCCCCATGCCCAACACTGGGTGGCAGCTAGTTGCTGTCTCCCCAGTGCCCTCTGAGCCACAGCGGTGACCTTGACCATCCTGAGGAGGGCCTGGAAACTGCCTGTCTGCCTTGGAGTTTGTGTGATGCTTTTCCTGGGTTATGAGTAGGAAGTGATTTTTTATTTAATTTCAATAAAATTTCAAAATTGAAATTTGATTCAATTGTTGGATGACATATAAGCATATCTGAAACAAATATGTGAATATATGCTTCTGCCTTCAGTAGTAAATTTTCTGAAATGTAATTGCAGGTCAATGATTTTTTTTTTCCTTTGGGGTGCTAGGGACCAGAGCCAGGTCCTTTCACATGCCAGGAAAGTTCTGTGTCGCTGAGCTACACCCTCAGCCCCGGGGATCAGTGACTTTTAGTGAAAATTTAGCACTTGAATTGGGATGCACCACAAGTGAAAAATACCAGACTTCAAAGGATACAAAAAGTATGGCCGACCTCATTATATTGTTTATTGCATACTGAATCGAGAATATTTTGGATATATTGTGTTAAAGTGTGTTATTCAAATTGATTTCACCTGTTTCTTTGTACTTTTTACTATGGCTCCTAGAAAGTTTAAAAGTGCTTTGCTCATGTTAGACTTTTCTGGCCCTAGCTGACAATGTAAGACCAACCTGGAGCGTGCCTGTCTCACTCTGTGTTGGGCTACTGTAGCAGAAGACGGAAGCCTGGGGGATTGAGAACAGGAGTGTGCTCTCTCACAGCTCTGGAGCCAGTGTGAGCTGCCTGCACCTCCCCTCCTGGAGAAGGCAAGAGGGCCAGAGAGAAGTGAGCCCGTCCCACCAGCCTTTTTTTTTAATAGTGGCATCCATCCATCAGGAGGGCAGAGCCTTCATGACCAAAACCCTTTCGGGGAGCTCACTTGCCAACCCTGCTCCACTGGGGCTCAAGTTTCTGCACATGAATTGGGGGACACATCAGACCACACCAGCGCCAGGCGTTGTGCTTGAGCGGTATTCTCTCATGGGCGAAGTACAATCATACACTTTTCCCCACTGAACCCAGGGACCACTGAGGTACACCCCCACCCTTTTATTTATTTATCTTGAGGTGATGTCTCTCTTTGTTGCCCAGGATGCCTCACACTTGGGATCCTGCAGCCTGAGCCTCCAGGGTGGCTGGGATTACAGGTGTGCACACCACGTCTGTCTCAACCTCCGCTTCTAAGCAATCCCTAGGGTAAGAGATGTTCCCTGGCCCCTCTGCAGTGGGTGCTCACTGCACATGGGGCTCAGTGCACGACAAAGCAAGCACGTTGCTCTGCATTTGGCCTGTGTACCTGTAAGGGTCAGAGGAATGGACGTCACTGGAGACCCCTGCAGTGAGTCCCAGCCTCCTGTGAGCCACCACAGCACTGGCTAGAGGTTAAAGAATAGATGGGACGAGACTTACAGTGAAGCTGAGTCTTGGGTCCTGGTCAGTGCAGCTGATGGCAGCAAAGACAAAGGCCCCCAAGCACATCCAGTATTTACTGGATACAATCGTGGGAAGGAGTAGGGAGCTAGGGAGCTGTGAAGGCATCCAGTGAATTCCTGCGGAACACCTGGCATGATGGCGCCAGGCAGGGCTGTCAGGGAATTGGCATGCTTCTCTTGCTAGGGTAGAAGAAACCTGCACTGGGACCAGGTGCAATTAGCCAGTGACCCAGAAAGTCGGTGAGAAGCCATAGTTCAGGGAAAGGATTTTAACTGGGGTCACACTGACCTCAGCTGTATGTAACTCAGCAGGGCCCTGCCACTTCACAGACAAGGATTTAGGCCTCGGTGACAGCCACAACAAAGGAGCAGTACTAGCCCAACTCTGCTAGCTGACATCTCTGTTTGAGCCACACAGAGCTTCAGCCCGACTCCTGACATAAACAGTATAGCTGAATAGGGAAGGCAAGAAGCAGGTGCCACTCATAGCCCGCTAGTACTGGCCGGGGATGGCTCCTACATATGCCTTTACACATTCAGCTGTGTGATTTCCAAGACTTAGTTGTCTTTATTTATTCCAAAACTTTTCAAGGTGGTAGCATTTCCTTCAATTATATAATGCAATTAAATAGAACATAAATCAGGAATATATGAGGGCAGATGTAAAGAATTGTTTCTATCAAAACATTGAATTGAGAAAGATGTGATAAAGACCAATTGTTAGCACAGCAAAAATGTGTTATATTCAGATTGGCAAGGCAGCTATATATGACTTTTTCTGTTTTTTATTGTTGGAAGGTTCTGTGGTCAAATTGCTCTGTGAGATTTACTGTCCCTTCTAAGGGACATCCTGGAAGCTGTCTCACACCAAAAACCTCACCTTGTGCTTATATCAAAAGATTGGTGGGCCAGAGATTTAGCTCAGTGGTTCCACTGCCTGCCTTGCAAGCACAAGGTCCTGAGTTCGATCCCCGGTACCAAAAAAACAAAAAAGCTTCCTCAAAAGATTGGCAAATGGGCGTACACTTATATAATTTGAAGCAAAATAATTAAAGTATTTCAATTAGATGATCCAACCAAATATTGGTTCTGATCATGATAACAGGACTTTTACTCCACTATTAACACCCCTTCTTTGCAGATGATAAAATAAGGCTTTAAGAGACAATGCCTTCGCCCACCAGGCCAAATGTCTAGTAGGAGAAGGCATGGGTTTGAAGCCCATCCACAGAGCCCTCAGCCAGGATACGGGCCCCATCCACTGTCATCAAGAATCAAGCAGGGCCCGGGGATTTAGCTCAGTGGCTCCACTGGGTGCATCACAAGCACAAGATCCTGAGTTCCATCCCCAGTATCCCCCCCAAAAAAAGAATCAAGCTGGCTGGGACTTGGTGTCCAGATGCTGGAATACAGCAACATGAAGAAGAGAAGGAGGGAAGTGGGTCCCTGGGACCCACAAGAAGCCCACAAAAAGAGTGAAGAGAGAGACTTCAATGAAGAAGGAGGTAGCAAGTGGCACTTTCTCCCTAAGCCCTGAATTACTTACTGTGTGGGAATGGCAGCTCAGACCTGCAGATGCAGTGACTATGGGAGACCCCATAGGCCTCCATGAAAAAATGCACCAGTGGAACAGAGCAGTAGACACACCAGACTGCAGTGGCTGGTGAGTTATTTGGGCTCAGATGTCTCCCAGGAGAGGATGATTGGCTGGTAGCCATCTTAGACAGGGGCCAACTGAGCTTGGGACTCAGAGGAGTGGTGGGCTGGCTCCATAAGGCTGAAGCGGAAGAAAGTTTAAGTTGGCAGGAGGTCAAGGAGGAGCCAAGTTCAAGCCAGCATGAGGCACACAGAGTATTTCGAGCTGGAAAAAATCAGGTTCCAGCCTCATAGCCAGAAACCAGCTTGAGCTTCAGAACTAAAGGTGCTGACTTCCTGGGATTATCCACTACTCCATCTTAAATCTATGGCTGGCTTGTTAGAATCAATCAACATGGATCTGGGGTCTGTCTGGCCATTCTGTCTACCAATGACAGCAGAGACACACCCTGAAGTGGACATTTTTTTCTTATTTTTATTCTCTTTTCTTGTTTTTGTTTTTTTTTGTTCTTTCTTTTCTTGATTGTTCTTCTTTTTATAAAAGGGTGAATATTGTTTCTAGTTATTTTTGTTGTGATGTGGTTCTTTTATGTTCCTATTTTTATTTCTTCTTTCTCTCTTACTTTCTGTCATCTTCACCAGTTCCCCAAAGTTTGTGTAATCTTCCTTTATCCTCCAACCTTCCTTCTCATCCCTTCCTCTTCTATTTCTCTACTTTTCCCCCCTAAATCCCTTTAAATTTTCTCCCCTCAAGGTAAAATCATCATACTAAGGGTACATTTATGGTATACAACTTTCTGGTTTGTTTTAGATCTTGTTATATAACCACAAAGCTAGTTCATATGGTTAAAGGTGGAAAATTAATAGTTACCACAGCTTGTCACTTTTTGGGCTGTGTCTGATGCTGTTGTTATGGCTGACTGCACTACTTTAGCAAAGGTGACATAATTGTTCTAATCAGTTGTTCTTCCTAGTGTGCCAAGACTGAGATTGCCTGAGGGTCATAAACAATACTATAGGTCAGTGCCAAAGAACCAGGGGCTAAGCCAAGTAGGCAGCAACTTCTCATCTCCAATAAATTGAAGAGGTGGAATCTTGCAACAGACTCAAAATCCAAAGCCAGCTACACCTGTAAGACACCTCGGAGAAGTAGTCATTTCCTAAGGGTTCTAAATATTAGCAATAGAGCTCCTTGCCATACACAGTTTACAAGCATCAACCCAGGAATTAAACTAAAAAAATATTGAAAATGAGAAGACACTTAAGCAAGATGCAACCCCAGACTTCCAACTCACCAAAGGCAAACCCAGGGGGCAATGAGGTGGAGCAATCCAAAAACCTGGACTCTCTGAAGTAGTAACAGCAGAAGTAACAAAGCAGATGAAAGAGGCTCTAGAAAAAATAAAATCAGAAATAATTTCTTAGATAACTGCAGAGATGGTGACCATAACAAAAGACATGATTAGTAACTCTAGAGCAGATACAGATTAAAAAAATAGAGAGAATCTTGGGAAAATGATGGAAACCATGAATGCCCAATGTAGGAAAGAAATGGAGTCCATGAAACAGATTCAAACAGATATCCAGATTAAAAATTCCATTGAAAGTATACACAGCAGAATAATCCAATGTGAGGATAGACTTTCAGACATAAAAGACAGCATTGCATTTAGTGATCATGAAAAGAATGATCTCTTAAATATAGTAAGGGACCACAAGAAATCAATCCAACAGCTGCTAGATGATGCAAAGAAGAATAACAAGATGGATTACAGTCAATGAAAAAGTATGAGATAGCTCAAATGACATAAAAACCTGTTCACAAAAATAATGGCAGAAAACTTCCCAAACAGGGAAAAAGAATTTGACATACAGGTAAGTGAGGCATATAGAATTCCAATTAGCTATGATTGAAAAAAAACTACACCTAGGCATATAATAGTCAAGATTCCAGAAATCCAACACAAGAACAGAATATTAAAAGCTGTTAGAGAAAAGAAACAAATCGCCTATAAAGAAAAGCCCATCAGAATCACAGCAGACTTCTCAACACAAACCCTCAAGTCAAGGAGAGCTTGAAGTGAAATATTCCAGGCCCTAAAAGAAAAGAACCTCCAAACCAGATTGATGTACCCACAAAATTGTCTTTCAAATTGATGGAGAAAGAAGATACTTCCGTGAGAAAGAACACCTGAAGAAATTAATGACCACCAAACCAGCACTCCAAAACATTCTGAAGGACATTCTAGAAAGAGATAACAAGGACTACAACTCCATGAACCCAAACAGAATGAATCCACTAGGCAAGGCAAGAAATTAAACAGAGGGGAAAAAAGGAACCAACAACAGGAAAATAACATGACAAGGATAAATCAATACATATCAGTTATAACCGGTCTCAATTCATCAATCAAAAGAAACAGACTAGTCAGGGATTTAGCTCTGTGGTGCTGATGCAAGCAGAAGGTCCTGAGTTTGATCCTCAGTACCAAAAAAAAGAAAAGAAAGAAATAAACAGACTGACAGAATGGATAAGAAGCAAGATACAACAATATGCTGCACATAAGAAACACATTTAATTCAAAAAGAATTTCATAGGCTGAAAGTCAAAGGATAGAAAACAATACCCCATGCAACAGGAGCCCAGAAAAAAGGGGGAGCTATTCTATTCGCAGACAAAGTGGATTTCAAGCCAAAAACTGATTAAGGGTGACAAAGATGGTAACTATATCCTTATAAAGGAAACAAGCCAAGAGAAAGAGATAATAATCATAAATATATATGCAACAAATTGCAGTGCACCCAACTATAAAACAAAAAGGACAGGACATGAAAAATCAAATAAGCACAAATACAATTGTAATGGGGGAATCTCAATACCCCACTGTCACACATAGACAGATCAACTAGACAAAAAATATCAGAGCTGAACCAAACTTTTGAACAAATGGACTTAGTAAATATCTACAGAGAGTTCTACCCCACAACATCAGAATACATTCTTCTTAGGTGCACGTGGAATGTTGTCCAAAATAGACCACATACTCGCTCATAAAATATGCTTAAGTAAAAGCCTTCAGAGCCATATTCATTTTCTCAGTGGTACCCCCAAATCTTTATAAGGAAGAGTAGGGACTTCAGGACAAGGCATACCTGGGCTGGATCTTGGCTCTGATCCCCCTGGGCCAATGTAGCTTCACCTGTGCTGAAGCAGCATCACAGAACCCCCATAGGATTGTTGCCAGGATGAAGTGGAGTGGCGCGTGATTCCTGATGCTGAGAGTAGGGAGGGAAACAAGCACACAGCAGCCCAGTAAGTGCACGTTTAATTAAGGAGATGGCGGGGAAGGCTGAGTGGGCTAGGGGAGAAACTGTGGGGTGCAGATCGGCCACTCTCTGAGCCTCTGTCTTGAGCCAGGTCCTCAGAGTGGCTTCTGTCAGGCCTCTGACAGACGGTGCGATCCTCTCTCTCCACACCAGCCACCCAGAGGACAGAGCTTTGCTGGGAGTAAAATGCCAGGGAGAGGGAGGACCTAGGAGGGTTGAGCTGAGACAAAGTGGCTGGCTAGAAGGAGCAGCAGGGGTCATTTCTAAGGAAGGGAAAGAAACAGAGAGAAGCACGTTTGTGCCTTTATTTACATCCTCATGCACTCTCAAAAGCCTTGCCTCTGCCATCCCAGCACCCCTACAGGGCTCTGTGTGCCCCCCCCAGCCCAGCCTTCCACTTGGTCCACCTGCTGTGTTCCCTCAAGATCTCATCGAAGCTGGCTCCTCCCGTCACCCAGCACAGAGGTCTCTCCTCAGAGAGGGGCTCTGCTAGATGCACTGGGAAGCTGCCCCTCCAGCTCCTCTGCCACAGCACCCCTTAGGCCTTCGTGAAACACTGAAAACAGATTGAAACACTGAAAACAGATTGCTTGTCTATTCCCCCTGCCACTAGAGGGCGCACTCCAGAGAGCAGGGATCCCTGCCTGGAAGCTGCTCTGCACCCTCAACCTGGCAGAGCAAGGCTTGCTCATGGGCACAGGAACCGCAGAGTAGGAAAGACATAGTCTTGCTCCCAGAGAGATCTACTAGCAGGAAGTTGTTGCCAATCCAAAAATAAACTCAGTACGAAATCACTTCCCCTAGCACACCGTCCCCCATCCCCTGGCAACTACTAATTGGCTGTCTCTAAAATTGTCTATTCTGGATATTTCATATAAACAGAATCATACCTTATGTGATCGTTTGTGTCTGGCTTCCTTTACATAGCCCAACACTAGGTTCACCTCCAGGTTCAACTGTTTCACCTGTGTCAGATTCATTCCTTGTAATGGCTAAATAATATTCCACTGTACAGAGTATGCTGTTTATCCATCCATCCGCTGACGCACCCACCGGACCCATTGTGTACATGGTGTCTGTGGCTGCTTTGTGCTCAACAGCAGAACTGAGTAATTGCAACAGAGCCCGCACTGGCCTCTCACAGACAAAGTTCCCAACTCTGGCCCAAGGGGTCAGACCCCAGGATTCCAGCACAACGATGTGGAGTGACTGGCGCCTCAAAGTCTGGGGGAGGAGGCCTCGGACGTCTCCCCATTTCATGCAGCTGTCCTCTCTGTGGCTCAGCAGCGTTGTGCGTAGCTGATCTTGAGGGCCCAGGAGGAGTTTTTCGGGTAGACAGACAGTGACGAAACCTGTCCCGGCGGGAAGGACCAACACGCACAAATGGCATAAGAAGTGGGAAAATGTGTGCTCTCAGGGAGTCACGGATGGCCTGATACAGGCAGTGGGTGAAGTGTGGGTGGGAGTGGAGGGGAAAACAGGTATGGAGAGGACTTCCGAGAAATGGGCAGCCAGAGCCGAGGACCTCGGAGCCCCTGACAGGCTGAGCCGGACACTGTGCTCTCTGGAGCCCTCGGGCTCCTCGTTTGAAAAATGAACCTATTTTAAACTGTGGGGAAATCCAGGACGTGAGCTGAGACCAACAGCCACCTGTCTTGTGCTTGTGCCACTGTGGAAAGCTCCCCAAGAACTGAAGGACCACCCTGAGCTCAGGAGGCTGGAGGGAGACAGAGACCACCGGCTCCCGTGAGCCTGCGGGCTGAGACTTCTCACACAAGACGACCGAAAGGAAAGCACCCTGGGAGAACCTGAGTCATAAGGGCTCGCAGCGCGGGCAGTGACGGCCACGCGGAGCCTTGGTGACACGCAGTTACCTCGACTCTTCCCGGTGCTATGCTGGGGCTCCATGTAAGATTTCAGGGGAACGGAGCTCTGCTTTCATTTGCTTTTAAAGGTTGGAATCCGCGGACGTAGCGTTTCACAGCAGGGCGGGCGAAACACGACCCAGTGCGCATGCTTTACCGAGGGCGCCGGCTGCTGGGAGGAGGAGAGCGGCTGGCAGACGGGAGAGGCCAGTTGCAGCCGTGGATGTAGGGGGACGCCCACTTCCCGCCGCAGAGCTGGTCCACGCTGCCGACGTCTCAGGGAAACACAGCCGCTCCCCTGGGCTCCCTCCTTACTCCCAGTCACGGCAGCACCTGGGTTTCTCACTGGGAGCCTTTCCGCAGCTCCCCACGGCTCCCAGGATCAGACCCAGAGCTCCCTGCCCATCTCAGGCCGCAGGCACTGCTGGGCCTCCATCCGCGCCGGGCCTCTGCCGAGGCTCCGCTCCGCCTGCAGACCTTCCGAGTCTCCCTCCCAGAGGCTTTCCTCTCCTCTGTTCTTCTTTGCCTCTGGAGCCCAAACGTCACCTGCGGTCACCTTTTCACTTGCTTTCTGTCTTCTCGAGGGCACAGGAGCCTTCTCCACCCTGTTCACCACTCAATCTAGGTTCCAGCAAAGAGTGGGGGTCCACAGAAATTCACTGAGCGGGTTTCTCGATAAGGTCAATATAGAATTTCATATGACCCAGCAGTTCTACTCCTCCGTAGATCCCCGAAAGAATTTAAAACAGGTTCAAACAAAATTGTATACAAATGTTCATAAAAGCACTATTCATAATAGTTAAAAAGTGGAAACAATTCAGTGTGCTTCAACTGATGAATGGATAAACAGATGTGGTATATCCGTGCCGTGGAATATTATTCAGTGGTGGAAAAGAATGGTGCAGAGATAGCTGCTGTGGCATGGCTGAGATTTGCAGAGGTGACGCTAAGTGGACAGAGCTTGATAGAAAGGTCACGCACTGCATGGACATGAGATGTCCAGCGTAGGGGAGCCGACAGGCAGAGGGCCTCCCAAGGCCTGCGAGGAGGAACACGCTAAGGGTGCAGAGCTCCCTCTGGGCACGATGAGAATGCTCTGGATTAGGTGGTGGTGACGGCTGTGAGTGTGCCCTCACGAGTGGGACGTTTTTATTCTGGAGGCCAAATCTCAGGCCTTCACACTGAGCTACAGCCCCAGCCCCTTTGCTACTTTTTATCTGGAGACAGCGTCTCGCTGAGTTGCTAAGTCGCCCCCACTGGGCTTGCTCCTGCCGTCCCCTGCCTCAGCCTCCCAGAGTGCAGGGATCACAGCTGTGCGCCACGGTGCCCAGCCAGGAAAATTTTTATGTTCTGTGTATTTTACCAAAATTTCGAAAATCCAAAAATGCAGTGTACTGAGTGAGTTCGGGAGTGAATCCCTCCAGTTCTGCATCGGCCCACCACCATCACACGCTTCCCTGGCCTGTCGGGCCGTGGCTGGAAGTCAAGGGTGTGGGACTGCGACTCTCTCCTCACAGCAGCTACCTGGTGTCCAGTTCCAGGTTACAGTAGTGGCAGTAGCACTGGAGGATGGCAGGGAGGGCCAGGGACAGAGAGACGGGTGAGCAGGTGTGCGCCTCCTCCCATGCACCCTGTCCCGTGTCCCCCGGGCCCGGGATCATAAGCCTGTCTCCAGCCAGCTGTCCTGGGCCCAGAAGCAGCACAGCCCCAGGCTGGGGACCTGGCAAGGCCCCTCTAATGTGCTGCAGGGCATGAAGGGGCCTCCCTGTCCGCCCCACACTGCGCCTCCTCCAGGCCCTGCTGAGTGTCCCCTGGGGCCACAGAGTCCTAGGCAACATCTGGGGCTCCGGCCTCAGCTGTGCCCATGCCCCTCATGCCTGGCCCTCTGGCACCTGCCCGGATGGGGGCCTCCCTGCCTCTGATCCGCCTGGCCCCAGATCTCCCCCCACTCAAAGCCCACACCAGACTCAGCATCAAGGCGCCTCCTCTTGCATGGCCAGGCCCCCTCCGTCCCGGGGTGCATGCCATTGCCCTGATATCACTCTTCCCTGCTCGCTTCTCTTCCGGCCTCCTGCCCCTGTCACGTGACCCCATGGGCTTAGGGACCCCTCACAGAAACCCACGCTCCACGCTCCACTGCGGGAGGGAGGGAGCCCAGCTAGCTGTCTGGGCACCTTCCTTGCCGCCCTCCCTCTGAGCTCTGCCCGTGCTGTCCCCTCTCCCTGGACCAAGTTTCCCCTTGCCCTGTCAGTGGCTAAGTGCATTCTGCCCTTAGAGGAGTGGGGCTGTCAGGGCCTCCCGGAAGCCTTTGGAGCCCCTTCCTCCCAGCTGACAGCCCCAGCGGTTCCTGTGAACTCCGCCCTCATGGGAGACCTGCCTGCACGCAGCGTGTCCCTCAGGGTCCCACGGCCAGCAGAGGCCGTGGTCCTCATGGGCCTCCTTCTGCAGGGACAGAACAAGTGGCCATTCCCCGGGAAGCTGTGAAGCCCTTCCTGTCCACCCTGCGCCCTCGGGGACCCACAAGGCCTCCTTACCCAGTCCCCTTTGTTGTAGGACACAAACAGGAAGGTGAGCACCATGTATGTACACTTCAGGAGGTTCCAGCTGTTCCTCTTCCGGAGTGGCTTCCCAGGGGTGGTGGCCGGCACAGGCCTCTCTGGAAATGACCACAGGCCCAGTTCGTGCCGCCCCGGGGGGCCCTTTGCAGTCCAGAAACCCCTGCCCTTCCTGGCTGTACACCCCAGGCCCACGAGGCCTGGGAAACGGGCTGCACTCGCTGCCGCTGCCGCTCCCGGCTTCCCCTCTTCCAAAGCCCAGTCTGAGCCACCTCTTCTGGCGCTCAGCAGACCAGCGGGCCCTGCTCTCTTGGCCTCCCCTGCTTCCTCTGTCTCTCCCACGCCCGGGGACCCACACGCAGGTCCATTCCGCATTTCAGCCTCACAGACTGCAGGTGCTGCTTAACTTCCCCAGTGCTCTTCCCTCATCTTTTTGTTTTACAAATGTTACAATCAGGAGAACTCCGTTGCCACTGGTAAACATACCTGTCTAAACAGATCCCCAAATCAAAAACAATGAACATTCCCAGTGTAAAGGCACACACTGTACAACGAATCAGCAAAGACAAAAATGCAATTCTCCATCTTGAGTTCCAAGACTCCCCTCCTTTTTGTGGAGCATTTACTTCAGGGGACATCTAGTTTATATCGAGTCCCCAAAAGCCCCTGCATCAGAGGTGAGGCTTATGGAGGGCGATGGGGTCCCGGTCCAGAGCTGAATGGGAGCGAGGTTGGGAGCTGTGGCGGGGCCGGGAAGGGTATGTCTGCCTCCTGGCTCCTCCTGCTCACTCTGCTTCCTGCCTGCCATGAGGTGTGCCGCCTTCCTCCGCCAGACCCTTCCCCGTGCTGCCGGCCGTGCAAGGGCTGAGACTTGTAAAATGGGAGCCAAAATAAACCTCTCCTCCTTAAGTTACGGTGTCAGGTGCTTTGTCCCAGTGGCGAGGCGAGCGACTGTTAAAGGGTGAGATTTCTTCCTGCCTGAACAGTCTCAGCATTTTGGTTTCATGCTCATTCATTAAACCAACACTGTTCGTTCTCTTCTACCTTTTCTCGGAGAGTTTTTATGGTTTGCTTTGAAGTCAGGACCTGGGAGCCTCAGGGCCTGGGACACCATGGCCAAGGGCTCTCATACTAAGTTGTGCACCACCCGAATTTTGTTTCAGGCTGTATTTCCTGAACTCCACCCATCCTAGGTGCACTCTCTGAGTCAAAGGTTCACACTAAGTACACAACCACACCGATGAGAATGAGTTTTCTTTCTGCCTTTGTGACCCTGGAGCCTGGACGGGACCTGCCTGGTCGAACATCTGGAGCACTGTGGGAAACTCGTGGAGACAGCAGCCTCCTTTAGGACCTGGGGGAAAGAGCCCAGCGGTCCAGCACTGCCCTCCCATAAGCTTTCGGCAGCGATTCTTTCTCATAGTACAGTGTCCCCTTCTATTCTTGGTTTGCTGAGATTAAAAAAAAAATGAGTAACTGCTGAGTTTTATCCTACTTTTTCCTGTGTCTATAGGGATGATAATGTGACTTTTATTTTTTATGTTAATAAGATGAGAATTCCACATACTGATTTGCATATATTAAATAATCTTTGCATTGCTGGAATAAACTCAATTTGGTTACAATTTTTAAAAAATATTTTGCCCAGTTCCTTTGGTTAATATTAGTCTAGGATCTCATCTCTGTCTTTGTGAGAAAAATTGACCTGAAATTCTCTCCTGTACTTTATCTTTCATCAAGGTTATTTTGTCTTGAAAATTAGTTAGAAAATGGCTCCTTCTGATTTTCTGGAAGACTCTGTGTAAGAGCAGTTGCCGTGAGAGACAGGCAGACGCCTGGATTCCACCCCAGCCTCCAGGACAGCGAGACCAACCGTCTCTGAGGTTTTGTTCCCCAGTCCTGGGATGTGGGTGCCTGTCTTTTTTCGCAGGAAGAAGGTGTTGTTTTAAAACATTTCCCTATTGTCTTTGTTTTTCAGCCCGGTGGAACAGTGTTCACAGAAGCTGTTTTCTCTAGATTTGTTCCCCAAGGTTCTCAGAATCTTTAAAATCTGTCACTTGGTGGTTTTCACCAACATGCCAAATCTTTAGCCTTTAACCCCAGCTTTAGCTCTGTCTCCTCCTCCTCTGCCTTCTCCTTCTGGAACCGGAACCAGAGCCTCAATGCATTGCCAGCCGCTCTCCCTGGCTCTCTGCGTCACTTCCTGCGTCTTCACTTCCCTTGTCCCTAAGCTTCTGCTGCAGTGCTTTCTCTTTCTTTTTTCTTTTCTTTTCTTCTTGTTTTGTTTTGTTTGAGACAGGGTCTTGCTATGTAGCCCAGGCTGGCCTCAAACGCATGCTTATCCTCCTGCCGCAGCCTCCTGAGCACTGGGATGACGGGTGTGCACCACCACACCTGGCTTTGCAGTACTTGCCATTAGCCTGTTTTCTGTTTGTCAACCATCCTTTATGCTGTGAAGCCCAACAGCAGAAACTGACTTCTGAACTTCAGTTGCATACTTTCAATTCTAGACCTCCCATATTTTTTGTGAATGCCACTTCCCTGCCTATCTTCACACATTTCTCACAAACTTAACATATTTCAATGTGCTTGATGTGCTGCGTTGGGGGTGCCTAGAGCACCAACATTTCTGACACCAGGACTGGTTGTCTTGCTTCACGAAGATAGAAAGTGGGAAATGGAAGCGAGCTTTCAGTGCTTGTGTGGCAGCCTCAGGTATTCCAGCTGGACTTTAATCTAGAACATATGGAGACCAGAAGGTGTCTCAAACACAGGTTTAAGCCATCATCACTGGCAATCTCAAGCAGTCGATCCTCCAGCATTAACAATTGGCTCGCCTGGCTTTTTCACAAAGGGGTCACGGATCTGCTCCTTCCCATCTGGGGCTTTCGTGGTTGGGAAGTGATGGTCAAACTCTCCTGAAAGCTGAGGTGGGTGATCAAGCACCAGCGGGGAGAAGGAAAGCCCTGGCCCAGGCTCTAAATCTTTGCTAACGTTTGAAACATGTCAAAAATCTCACTGTCCACTCATCACCCCCAATTCTAGTTTGGCTTGAATGCAGGCATTTTATCTGCCAGCTCGAACAGTTTTCATTCTCTTCTGAAGAGAAAGATTGAGTTTGCTGAGCAGGTTGAATTTGTCACACAACAAGCTTTTGACCCATCTGCATCACTGAAATGTGCTGCCAGTGGTGACTGTGTAAGATCGAGGGCCTTACCAATCGCTCCGAGGAGCTGACTGCAGCAAAGAACACCCGGGAAGGAACACACCGGACAAGTTGGAAGGTAAAACAGACCTTAGTCTGGCCAGACGGCACTCCCAAAGCAAAGTAGCTTAGAGAGCCTACTAGCCCAGAGTCCGAGGCTCTTTTTATAGGGGGATGCAGGGGAAGTTAACAGGCGAAATTTACAGAAGAGGAACAAAGGTTAGTGGTCAGCTGACACGTACTGATGGTCAGCAGATGTTTGTAGATTGTTCTATAGATAGCGGTGTCCCGAACATCAGTTTCGAACAAAGAGTTGAGTAATTTACTTTGGGACCTTATGGCTGATACAGATCTTATCTAGTGTCCCGGAACTAACAAGCATCTTTATCTATTTACTCACATTCACAGTTGGGGCTAGGGGAGTTTTATGATTACAGAGTTATGCAGCCCCACAACTGTTTTTCTAATAAATATCTGGAGCAGCTCTTGTGACTCAGAAACTCCGGCCAGGAAGCCGCCGACGCCATCTGCCTTCGAGTACAAGAGCAAGCGCACGCGCTGTCCGGCCACCTCCGGAGCTGTGCGTGCCCCGTCGGTCAGGGCGCGGGCTTTAACGAGATGATAAGGCTGTCACACCTGGCGAACGGTTACGGTTACGTCTAGGAGAATTTTCGGCTAGCCAGCGTTTCCCTGTGGGTGACACAGTGTGCAGGCTCACGTTCAGAAGCGAGCCCCTTGACCCAGGTAGCGAAACCAGGAAGCTCTGAGGTCAGGGCAGCCCCCCCCCCCCCCGCGTCAGGCAGCGGCACAAAACGACCGCTTCCGCTTCCGCCGCGTGATCGCGGGCGGCTGGGCTGGCCCTGAGGTGCGCGTGACATCCCGTGCCCTCCACTGGAAGAAATGTGCCCCCTGAAGGCGCAGCAGGAGCCCCCAGCCTGGGCGCGGCACCGCAGGACGCTTTGTGCTCTCCAAGGACTGCGCCTAAGTGTCCCCCGCTACGTCCTCACCTCCTGTCCTGAGGGTGCGTGGGGCGCGTCCTCGGCAGGCAGGACCGACTCCCCGACCCCAGGCTCCTCAGCTTCGCAGCGCGGTGGCCACCGAGCAGGGCGCTCCCGGAGCCGGCGCGTTTGAGGACGGGGTCGCCTCCAGGAACTGCTTCTGTTCCTTGTGTTCGCGGTTCGTTTTTCTTCTGAAAAGAAAGCCTGTGTTTCAACACGGGTGCTTGGTCTCCACGTGGCAAAGCAGCTCTGTCACCACGCAGTGCACAGGGCAGGCTTGCAGAGCACGAGTGACCCCCGATGTCCTTTAACGCCGCCTTCTTCCTGCTGCCTCTCAGGGTCTTCGGTCTCGGCACCGGGTCCCTCCCCCTTTCCATGCAGCTCTGCAGTGACGCTGGTTTGGGGCTCGTTTGGGCTGAAGTTAGCTGTGGGTTTCCCAAACTGACTGAGATGAGTGCTCGGTGCGGGCAGAGGCGCCGACGGGAGAGGTAAAAAGCCGTAGGCGGCGGCACAGGGACTAAAACGAGCGTCACCACCAGACGCAGCCCGCAGCTGAGGAGCTCGGGCTCACCCCGCTCTGAACCCCGGGTAGAGGCTCAGGTCCGGGAGCAGTTGGTTTGTTCCGGTCTCCGCAGTCAGAACTCTGGGCCTCTGCTCCTCTGTACCTGCAGGGGCGCCCATGCCCCGTCGCCCCGTCGCCGCCTCCGTCAGATCATCGGGCCCTGGGTTCTCAGGAGGAGCGGAGTCCTCAGCCCTCGCAGGCAGCCCCACTGCGGACCCGGCCACAGACAGGCGCTGGGCCCTTCCTGCCTGGTCTCCATAACCCTGTTACTCGGGACTTACCCGGTCACTTCCGGGGAGAGGAGGGCTCACGGGTAGCAGGGTACATGAAAACACTGTGCAGTTTTCAGGGGCACCTGCCCCCCAGTGCAGGAAGAGCCCCTCTCCCAGGCCCTCAGACAGCCCAGATGGGAGAGGGCGCGGCATCTCCACTCACCTTCCTTGCAGTCACTCGTTTCATCTAAGAAGAAAGAGGGGAGAGAGGAAGAGGAGGAAGAAGAAAAGTCACCAGTGAATCCTGAATTGGAAGGAGACCCAACTGTAAGCAGTGCATGAAGCGAGATGGGACTGTAGCAGCCTCCTCACTGCCCCAGGGCCTTTGCACATGCCACCCTCTGTGGGATCCCTTCCCCGTGTCTAGGTGTGTCTGGCTCCCTTGCCACCTGCAGATCTCTTTCAGGGTTGCCTTTCCAGAGCACCCCTCAAACTCGGTCAGCCTCTGCACCATGCCTGCATCCACACAGAACATAGCCACGTGCCACACTTGCAACCTCTTTGCTGCTTGTGTTTGTCTCTCTTTGGCCCTGGGGATGAATCCAGGGCCTTCACACTGAGCTATATCCCCAGCCCCTTTTATTTTATTTCTTTCTTTATTTATTTATTTTTGAGACAGGGTCTCACTGTATAGTTCAGGCTGGCCTTGAACTCACTATGTAGCCCAGACTGGGCTCAAACTGACGGTGATCCTCCTGCTTCAGCCTCCTGAGTATTGAGATTAGAGACATACGCTACCACACCCGGCTTATTTTTATTTTGAGACAGGGTCTTACTAAATTGCCCAGGCAATGGGCTGGGGATTTAGCTCAGTGGTGCCTCGCCTGCCTCACAAGCACAAGGTCCTGAGTTCGGTCCCTGGCAACTAAATTGTCCAGGCTGGGCTTGAACTTTCGATTCTCCTGCCTCAACCTCCTGAGTGCTGAGATTAGAGATGTGCACCACCACACCCAGCTTATGTTTTCTTTTGAGACAGGATCTTACTAAACTGTCCAGGCTGAACTTGCCATTCTCCTGCCTCAGCCTTCCAAAACGGTGGGATCACAGCTGTGCACCACCACTCCGAGTGCAAGCTATTTCTTTGTTTCTTTCCTTTCTCCTCACTGGAATGGTAGTTCATCTGGACACAGATTTTGTCTGTTTTCTTCCCTGTTCAACCCCCAACACCTAGAATAAGACAGCACATTCATCAGTATTTGTTGGATGAGCAGAAAGATATTGAGTCTTCATGCCACTAACGATGATGCAGGTGAAAGGCATAAGGTCTGATGGCCCCCGAAAGCCCCCCTCATAGAAAGCAAATCCTCCACCTGCTCCACTTGGAGGGAACACACGTCGCGGGTCTCCAGACTCACCGTTCAGCACCTGAAGGCTCAGCAAACCTGGAGACAGCGACATAGAAACTGAGTCACCAGGCGGCCACATCAGTCCCTCGTTCGCCCACAGGCCGCCAGGCTTTCGGAGAGGCTGGACTGGGGGACTGGAGACCCGGCTCTGCAAGCTGCCCGGGGCGGTGGAAGGGGAGCGGGGCTCTTACCCAGGATCTCTGCCGTCGGTCAGTCCATCGGAGGGCGGCGTCCGGGTGAGGCAGAGGGCAGTGTGTGCGTCCAGGGGCGGCGGAGCCAAGGCCAGCAGAGGGACAAAGTCTCAGGTCAGCAGGAGGAAGGAGGCAGCGGAGTCCTGGGAGACCAGCGCTGGCAGGAGGAAAGCCTCTCCCTGCTCCCTGCCACCTAGAGCCTCAGAGGAGCTCCTCAGGCTGACGCATTCCACCTGCCCAGGTTTCCCGGCTGCTCCCATCACCATGGATTTACATGTAATTCTCACGCCTCACGGCTCCCCGCTGCCAGGGTAGAAGGCAGTGTTGCTGGTGCATTTCCAGTGTGCAGCCAGCACTAGTCAACGTCGGAGCACTTTTGTCCCCCCAAAGGGATCCTCCTGCCTCAGCCTCCCGAGAGCTGGGATTACAGGCTTGCACCACGCCACCACGCCCAGCAGGGGAAGTTGTGAAGCAGCGGATGCTGCGGAGCCCCTGGGCCAGGCAAGAAGCGGGGCGCAGGGTGGACCCACGTTTCAGGACTGCAGCGGAGCGGGGAGCAGACCAGGGCAGCAGTGTGGGCACTGGGGAGCATGGAGGAGAGGGGGCAGGGTGGGGGTGCTGCCCGCACCCCACCACAGGGTCCCCCACCCATGGACACCATCATTCCCGTTATTTTTTCCAGTTCTAGAACATATGGCCTCCAGAATGCTAGGCCGGCGCTCACCACACAGCCACCGAGCCTCAACCCTAGACATGGAACCCCCAGGCCCCGTTTCCCTGCAGGGTGCTCCAGAGGTTAGGAAAGTCCTACAGAGCATGCCGAAACCAGGCGTGGCGGCACACACCTGTGATCCCAGCACTCTGGAGGCTGAGGCAGGAAGACTGCCAAGAGTTCAAGGCCAGCCTGGGCTACATAGTGAGTTCAGGGACAGTCTGAACTACAAAGGGAGGCCCTGCCTCAAAAAACAAAAACAAAAGAACCCTAAATAAATAAGAGCACCCCTTGGTCACCTGGGTTCTCTCCCAGGCAGGACTGTCTGCCCCGTGCAGGCTCCCCCAGGGCCCAGCCCTCCCGGAAGCGCATCCGGTTCTTTCCTGGACACTGGGCTCACACACCCAGGCCTTGCCCTGACCTGCCCAGCCTCCCTGGCGGGGGCCGCCAAGTCCTCTCCCAGCAGTCTGACTCCTCCTGTTCCACCTTCTCCCCAGGCCCCGAACACCCAGCTCCCCACAGCAGCAGGAGGAGCTCACGTCTCACTGAGGAGCAGCCGCCAGCCGGAGTGCACGTGGAAAAGAGGAGACAGCAGGATAACCGTCAGTGCCCGGCCCAGAGCTGTGGATGCCCTAACTCCACGGTGCCCTGCGGGGTGAGACAGGGTTTGGGACAGTGCAGCGAACAGAGCCCGAGGCGTCTCCGGCCTCCCGGCCCAGGTCCACCCACCCTGGGCCCAGGCATCGTGGGACACTCAGCTGGGATCCGGAAGCTCAGATTTCGGGGTTCTGGGGTTGGGGTGCTCGACTTGTAAAGCCTAAGCAAATATCCCAACTTCTGAAAAGAAGTCTGAGACCTGAGACCTGTCTGGGGCCAAGCATTTCTGACAAGGAAATGCAACCTGCTGGGGACTCAGAGCCTGGGCGGCCCTGGGGAAGCAGCCAGTTCGGCGCCTTGGGGAGCCTGAGACCGGGAGGCCGAGGTGCGGGGGGGCCAGCACATTCAGTGCTCTTGCTGGAGCCCACAAACCACTTCTGACTCCCAGCTGCTAAGTGATACACTGTTTACCCAAATAGACTCTTTAAAATATTATTGCACCTCAGTGTATCTCTGAAACCACACAAAACACTGGATAAAGTGGGGCAGAGGGGTCTGGGTCACCGGCACCCCACAAAGGTGCAGGAGGGAAGCAGACCCAGACCCAGGATGGGGGGGCTCACGCACCACCCCCTTCTTTGTTCACTGCACCCCGTGGAGGTGATCTCACACATATGCGCACGCACTCGTGCAAGAACGCACATGCGCACACACACAGAGACGCATGCACACACAACCTGCACACACACACACACACACATGCACACGTGCGCACGCAGTTACTCCAGTGAAACCCCTAACCACTGCCTTTCACCCTAAGATAACGCTCAAAATTCCCCCTCTGACTCCCAAGACCCTGTGCCTTCTAGTTCCCTGACGAACCCTCCTCCTCCTCCTCCTGAGGTTTCTCTGGGGTCTGTGTGGTGAGGGCCTGGGTCTCACGGCCCTGTGACCACAGCTCTGTCAACTGCAGCCCACACTGATGTCACCCCACCAAGGGCAGGCGCCCGCACTCGGCCAGGTCCCGGCCCCGACCCAGATGCCCCCATCCCCAGGAGAAGGGGAAGGAGAAGGTCGGGCCTGGCTGCCCAGGGGGACACAGGAGGGGCAGCATTACCTTCTCGGGGGGACACAGGCGCCCGCCCATCCCAGGAGGACCAGGGTCACCAGCGACAACTTCACGAGCCGCTCCAGGCCCAACATGGCTGTGCTCCCGCCGGGACCCTCAGGACTTTGGGCAGCCGGTGTTGCCCGGCTCTGCAGCAAAACTGGCCACCTGCGCCTGCCCACTGGGGGCCTGGGAGAGGCCAGGCCTGGGCCACAACGCCAGCCATGACCAGGGACAGCTCCTTCCTGGGGGGCATCTCCAGACTCTGAGCAGAGACATGCTGAGACAGACGCTGCGCACTGTCCATGCCTGAGGCACCTGCCAGGCTAGGACCCGAGGGCAGGGTGGGCTGTGCGCTCGACCTGGTTGCCGGGAAGGACGAAAGAAGACTCCTGCTGCCACGTGAAAGTTGCCTGGGCCCACGAACAAAGTGTCACTGGAGCACGGCCTGGAGAGCTGCCTGCTGCCGCCGGGGGTAGTGGGCTCGTGTGGCAGGGCCGCCGGGCACTCGGAGCTGAAACATTCACCCTTGGCGCCTTGCAGAAAGCTGAGCTCCCCTGTCCCAAACAACCATAAATTGCAGAAAAACAACCAAGCAAGTGCAGAACACCCGTCCTATTGAGGCCGGGGAAAAGTCACCCTTCTCACGTCTGCAGGGCTCCCTACCGAAGACAGCCACAAGGAGCCACTGCCCTGCCTCACCCTCCTCAGTCAGATGGGAACGACAAGGTTTCCAGCCTCGGGGCTGTGGGAAAGCACCCTGAACAATGCACATAGGCTCTTTCTCTTCATGATAGTAAAAGTGCAACTTGGGCGTAGGTGCTGTGTCCACACATGCTCTCCATGTATACTGATATCTCATGAACGCATGCATATCTTAGATTGAGATCATCTCATGAAGCATTTAATCCACTGGTGAATTCATGCACAATAGCCAGGCGTGGTAGTGCACACCTGTAATCTCAGCATCCAGGAGGCTGAGGCAGGAGGATTGCTGCAAGTTTACAGCCAGCCTGGAATACATAGCTGAGCACAGTGTACACTGAACATTTCTCCAGGGGTTCAAATATTCATTGATCACAGTTCTGTGATCATAACTTTGTGAATTTTTTCTCAGCCAGCCCCTGTTTCAGCTCAGTTTCCTCTCCACATCCACATTCTGTGAGACTCAGGGCTTCCTGACACCCGCAGCAGCCCTATACAGGCCTGAACTTCACTGGGATTGGCCGGCTCTGGTCACGTGGCCCTCCCTCAGCCAATCGCTTTTGCAGGTGGGGGCCGGCCTTGACTCTTGGCGCCCCCGGGACACGGGTGTGATGGCAGGAAGACGGTGGTGGGCGGGCTTTGCCGAGGCAAGGCCTGAACTCGCTCCTCCCGGCTCTTCCGCCCTCCCTGCCCTCAGCTGGTCACCCTAGCCGTGGGCTTCCGGGAAAGCAGACCGGAGGTTTTTGTTTTGTTGTTTTTGAGACAGGGTCTCACTCGTAGCCCAGGCTGGCCTCAAACAGCCATCCTCCTGCCTCGGCCTCCTGAGCGCTGGGATCCCAGGCGTGCGCCCCCACGCCTGGCTCTAGATGTCGATTCTGTTATACTTAACAGGCGTAGAGAGGGCACAGCAGAGAAGAAAACACGGGGTCACATGGTTTCGAGAAACGCCCCGTTCAAGAAAGCTCACCACCCAAGAGCCCTCGGGGAGTAAAGGGTACTGCAGATCTCCAAGAGGAAAGGTGCACTGGGCGGAGGGTGGCAAACCTACCTACTGCAGCCAGCTGTTTGTTATCACTGAAAGCTCTGAAAGGTAGCACATGCCTGCAATTCCAGCCCTCGGGAGGCTGAGGCAGGAGGATCCCCACGTTTAGGCCAGCCTGAGCTACCTAGTGAGTTCAAGACCAACCTGAACTGCATAGAGAGACCCTGCCTCAGAAAACCAGAAAATTTAAAAAGGAGAAATGAAAGGTTTGCCACCACTGATATAGAGCGTTCCCACAACTGTTTGATCGTGGAACTTTTCCCACCCCCCTGGACAGTGACACTGTACTTAACTCACACTCAAGCACCCTGAAGGCCTCTTCCGGCTTTGCCTGGTTGGAAGGGCTAACCCTGCCTCTTCTCCCTCCCCGCAGGGCCCTCTCCTGCCTGCGGCTTCGGATCCAGGCCTAAGCTCCCCCTCTCCTGGCCCCAGTCCTGTCTCGCTGTCACACCCCGGTCCCCCACGTCCAGGATAATGGCGCTCTCCAGAGCTGACCACGGCCTTGGCTCTGTCGGAGAACAGCAACCCCCACCGGTCCCCAGGGCAGGGCCAGCTGCGGGCCCCGCCCCCTGCTGGCCGCAGGCTGTGCACTTGCGCCCTTGAGTTTCTCTCCGTGGGCCTCAGCCCCTCTCCTGACCACGAGGTGCCGTGCCGCCGGGAACTTTAAAAAGTAAATGGAGATGTGGAGAAATCGGCGCCACACGCACTGCCCGTGGAGACCATGGAGGCGCAGCCACTGCTGGAAAGAGTCTGGTGATTCCTCAGAGCCGGGTGAGCCACCCATGCCCCACGGGGCCGGAGACAGCGGCACACAAATATCTGCTCACAGGCATTCACGGCGGCATCTGCAGTCTCAAAGGCCTCAGCCAAGCTTCAGGAAAGCCCTCGATGCCATCCGGACCGGTGCTCACATCTGAGGTGGAGCTCCAGGAAGGGGCGGGTCCTCAGAAGAGGGGACGTTTGTGCAAGGGCCCTGGGGCAGGAAGCGACAGTTAGAACCCAGGGTTCACGCAGTGCTGGAGGTCAAACACAG